CCGTTAGCAGACGCTGAGTGGGTGGCTGCTCCAGATGTTGGGGCAGTTAAGACGTTTCACACTAAGAACACTCAACGGCCCCAGTAGGGAACGCAGCAGCAGTTGGGTTGTAAGTAATCATGTATATGTATGTTTATTATTGTTTCAGGTCCACCCTTCTTCCAGGGGGTCAGCATGTCAAGACTGACTCGCATTTTCACCTATATTCTGCTTCGCTTGCAGCTTGACAAAAAAAGGGAGCGGGCGGAATGGAAAGCAAGGGTGGGGAAAGTGGCTTCCAAGCATCCGTCGGTTCTTATGAGACATTGCTTCCACCTCAAGGACACATCAAGCAGATGTCCCAGTGTAGCTGGCTGGTTCCCATAACAAAATGAGCAGAAGTGATTGGTGGATGTAACGAACTGTGGGTGGCCTGTAGAGAAAGGGGGAATTCACTATGCATGCTTTTGCAGAGCTGGTTTTGCTTCTCCTGTGCCAATGTGGTTTATTCAGTAAAGTTTTATACTCTTGGTAAAATAATGTCCCAGAAGTTTCTTTTTCCGGATTCATCAACTGGACAGTTGACACTGAGATGGAAATTGATCATAAAAAGAGGAGAGGTATGTTTCCTGTGAAATTTTGGGAGACATTTGTGTTGTTTTGTTGAGATTTCTGAGTATTTTTCTAGCTTGGGCCTAGCTACTGGACTTTCTGTTCCCTAGCAACCCGGGGGAGTGACGGCATCAGAGAGGCGGGACTAAAATACAAAATTAAAAATATTAGGGGTGAAAGATTGTGAGGAGGAGGAAAAGGAGGAGGGGGTAGGGGGTAGGAGAGGGGTGGTGTGAAAGCTGGCTAGGAGGAAGAGGAGGAGGGGCAGGGGAGAGGCTGTAAGAGGAGGAGAGGGAAAGGTGAAAGGTTGCGAGGAGGAGGAGGAGGAGAAAAAGGAGAATGAGGAAGATGCTTGAGGGTATGGATAAAGTGGACAAGAAGACATTTTCCCCTTCGTGAAAGAATCAGGACATGATCCATAGCACCACTTTGTTCAACATAAAAGAAATAAGAAAATTTACTTCACTGAAAGGGAGACTGGGAGGAGAAATGGGAGCTGGGTACAGTACCCAAGAGCACAAAAAACAGTTGCCCAGGGCTCCCTGGAGCATGGCTAGTAGAAAAGGCCACTTTCTGGTGACTTCAAGACCTCCAGCAATACCAGTAACTACTAGGGTGACAGCCCAGCCAACAGATACGGCACCAAGTTGAGGAGGGCTGGAATAGATTTTCTCATGTCCAAAGGGATGCTGGAGAAAGTTCAAGGATGGCACAGAGGGCTGGGCCTCCCAAATCTTTGGGGCCAGTAGGTATGCCCCGATGGAATACTAGAGGCACGTCACACAGGCACTCTCAACAAAATAGTTGCCCCATTGAATGCGGACAACTTCGAAACACCCATTTCTCAGAAAACAAAACTCTTTTATGTGCCATGGTGGCCCAGTGGTTAGAATGCAGTATTGCAGGCTAATTCCTCCAACTGCCAACAGTTTGATCGTCCCAAAGGTGCTTTTTTCAAGAGGCAATTGGACTTTCAGGTTTTTCTTTGAAGACCGTTTCACTTCTCATTCAAGCTTCTTCAGCTCTGACTGGATGGTGGGGAATGGAAGGATTTATACTACTGGCAGCCAGCTGGACATTTGCATTCTTTTAGTGGCTCATTAAGGTCACCTGGAGGTTTATCTGTGTCATCAGGGTCACCTGAGAGGTGCAAATTGGTGTGGAGCCTTCTTGAAAAAAGCACCTTTGGGACAACCGTGACCTGGATGACCGAGAATCTCCACAGACAACAGTTTGATCCCGACCGGCTCAAGGCTGACACAATCTTCCATCCTTCCAAGTAAAACGAGGACCCAGATTGTGTTGTCTGACTTTTTGTCATTGGAAAGTTGTCTGCAAAATTTCTCTGGGTTGGAAATGAAATGAAATGAAATGAAATGAAATGAAATGAAATGAAATGAAATGAATAGAATAGAATAGAATAGAATAGAATAGAGTAGAATAGAATAGAAAATGGAATAATAGAATATAGAACAGAACAGAATATAGAAAATAGAAATCAATAGAATAGAATAGAATAGAATAGAATAGAATAGAATAGAATAGAATACAGAAAATGGAATAATAGAATATAGAATATAGAATAGAACAGAACAGAATAGAATATAGAAAATAGAAATGAATAAAAATGAATAGAACAGAACAGAATAGAATCCTTTATTGGCCAAGTGTGATTAGACACACAAGGAATTTGTCTCCGGTGTAGAAGCTCTCAGTGTACATGCAAAAGCAACAGAATCACCACCGCCGCCATCATCATCATTATCACCACCACCATCATCATCCCAATAAAAAGAGGGGGGGGAGTTAGGAAGTTAATAAGGAGAGTAAATGATAACACTACAGCCATGCTGGGCACACAGAGACAGTGCTGTGAGAATTAGATGCTTACCAGAGTGGTGGCAGGAGGGAAAAAGCTCTGTCTCTGTGTCTTATATCTTGGCCTTGCAACGCCTCGTCCCGTGGGGAGGAGTGGAAAGAGTTGATGTCTAGTTTCTGAGGTCTCTAGATATTTTCTCAGCCCTCCTTCTGACCCGTGCAATACACAATCCGAACTATTCAGATATTTGCCCCATTAATGCCAAGGGCTCAACTAGCCAAGTAGACCCTGATCTGTTCCTCCTGGTGTGGCCGGGCACCTCCCAGAACGCAGGGCTAACCCAAGTTAACCTCTTGTGGCCTCGTGCTTGGCAAGAGCCATGAGAGGAGACTTCAAGGACTGGCTTCCCGAGAAACGCAACTCACCTCAAACTTCTGCCTGAATTCTTCACTGCCTTCTTCACCTTCAGCAGGGACAGGGACGTTGAAGTATTCTCCCTCTTCCTGGCTCAGGAGCTTAAACCTGGGGAGAGGAAAGGGGAATTGTCAAATGTGGTGTCTCCTGTTCTTTGCTTTAATTAGTTGTGCTCACGTTTAAAGAAAGGAATGATCCAAGCAAGGCAGAGCACAGGTATCAGAGGTTGACACTCAAACACCCAAGAACAGAAGTGGACGAGAACGGAAACCTGAGTGAGGACATTGGGATGTAGGCAATGCCTCTGAACCCTTTTCCCACGCCCAAAAACGCTTCAAAGAAGCAAACAGAACCCACAGAGAGGCAGAATGGGGCAAATGTCTCGTGCATGTTTTGATTTGCAGGTTATTTTAAAAACGGGCAACTCTTTCTTTTTTAACTTTTTTGTATTTTGTATAAAATACAAAAAAAGAAAATGGGAAATTAAGGGAAAGAAAGGCAATGGGAAAAGGGGGTGTGTAAAATAAGAGGGGGAAGAGAAAAAGAAAGAAAAGGGAGGCATTGACTTCTAACTCTTCCTAGCACAGTACAAGATAAACACACTCCAACCCCAATGTTTTGCTTTCACACATTAACATATAACTAGCCATTTCTATAACACCAAATCTTTCTAATCAACAAAACCAAAACCAAAGTTTTGGGTTGTTGTTTTTTGGGAAATCGAATACTTTATTTAAAGAGGAAAATATGTTCTTATTTGGATATCACTTCTGGAATTTGTGTTTGTGAAGGGGGAAAAAAGGGCAATTCCTTCAAAATAGTTTCTGCCGCCCATTGCTCACTCCGGCTGCTCAAGATTGGGCAGCCGTGCCCACAGGGAAGGCCTGCATGACTCCAGACCAAGAGGGGATTTTCACGATTAAAAGGAGGAAGAAACGTCTCCTCTTTGAGGACGGGGAATGAGCAGACGAGATGGGATTTGCATCATGCACCGGCCTCTTCCTCTCTCCCGCCCTCTTCTCTGGGTACGTACCACGGCTCTTTAGAGATGAAAAATGAACGGGAGTTTTCCTCCTCGCAGTGTTTATTTAAGCCAAGTACTGTGACAAGGAAAATTACTTAGATCTCTACTTACTGGTTTTTAAAAATGCAATACGTAGCTGCTTACCATATATTTTACATGCTCTCTAATGTGCTCAGCTGGTGGAGCCAAACTGGACACAAGTCCGCAGGTGGCGAGGAAGCCAAATAGGGGGGGGGGCTGACTGAGGACCTGGCTGGCAGCCAATGCCCAGAGGGGGGCACATTGTCCCCAGCGGTTCTGAGACTCTGAAGGGCTCCTGACACCCCTGGCTGCCCGAGCCCTTACGGAATGGCAGCGCTGTGAAAGGGCACGGGTGTTGTGGTTCACCGGCAGCCAGTGCAGAAGACAGCAGAATCAGACAGTGGGGGCCAGTCTGCGAGTCTGGAGAGGACTCAGACGAGGGTCCTATGTCCAATGCGGAGATGGCACCAGGACCATCTGGGAATGGGGTGCTGCCTTCGGAGTCTGGCAGCAGCGAGGCAGAGGACCCAGGGGAGCCTGTTCCCAGTGCGTGAGTGAGCAGAGCTGCTAGAAGGTGAGAGCAGCTGAAACAAAAGGGGAGACTCGGGAGTAAGGCTGGGAGGTGATTGCCCCTCCCAGAAGGGATAAAAGTCAGGCCAAGATGACAAAACCTTTGCAGGAAGCAAAGTAGTTTGATCGGTTCAGTCATTGTTGAAGCTCTTTGTACTTTGGTTGATTTATTTTTTTGGGTACTTCGGTTGGTTTCTTTTCTAGTTAATTGGATACTTCTGTTTTTGGCAGCATTCCACAGAACTGAAAGGTGTGTGCTTATCTTGGGGGACTGTTTGAGATTAATTCCGGCTGGGAATGAAAACAACTCCCAGCATTGCAATAAAATAAGTCTTGTTTTTAAATTACGTTTGTGCATAATGATAGTTTACGAAGCCTGGGCCAGAACACTGGGCTGCACCCAAGTGGTAGAAGGCTTTCCCTTCCCTTCCTCCACCCCCAGTGCCTTCTCCCCCATAGCTTTGGCCAAGCCCACACATCCTGCTCAATCTGCTAGAGACTGGTGATGCCTGCTAACCATGCCAGCTTTCATTAGCTTTCACCCAGGCTGGATCCGGGCAGGGTGAAGCCCTAAGTTACAGGGAGCCATAAAGGCTTTTTTCTGGCAAGGTCTTGCAGAGAACAAGGCCACACCCCAACTGAACTTAATAAGAATGCCATCCAGATGAGTAACAAGCCCAGGTTGGCATGCAGAGACGGTGTGATTGCATGCAGAATCAAAGCGTATCTTAATCAATTACCAAAGGTTCATGTGAGCCACACAGAGGACTTAATTTATGGAGACCTTCATAAATGACATTGGAACTGTAGCAAATGAAAATAATTTTGAGAGGTGCTTAAAGCTATGGTTTGCTTAGCTTATGCTTCAATTCTGCCAAGTTTCCCTTTTTGTGGCTTGCCGTGAGGTGTGTGATGACAGACCTTTGTTTAGATTTTCATTTAATGCACTCTAATGCAACCTCAGAAAGCGGCTTAAAATCCCTCCCAAGTCTCCCTCCCAAGTCTCTCTCATTAACTGCCCAAGTTTGAGGGGTTTTGTCATTCCCTTGTTGGAGTCTGACTCTGAGGGGAAATTGAGCAGCTGACAGGGAGTGAGAGTGTGGCTCCAGTGGCTGTGGAAGAAATGGGGGAAGGGCACAGTCCGGCTGGGCATTCAAAGGAAGACCCAGGGCCATCCCCTCTTCATCCTAGGGCACACAGGGAGGAACAGAGAAGGGAGCAACATGGCTTATGGGAGAGAAAAGGGCCCTGATCCCTTTCATTAGTTGCAGCTGGAAGAACAGGATATAAGTGGGGCATTTGCACACAGCTCCTTGCCCGAAGCAAAGCATGCATAATGTTGGTCGAGGCTTATCTGGGTTTTGGCGTCCTCCCAACTGTGGCTGCTACGTTACCCTTTGAAAGTCTGCAATTTATCATCCTGGTCTGCCGTGTTAATTATTCAGTGTGGTTTGTGTTGGTTTTTTTATTTCTAATTATCTTTACTTTGGATTTGGACTTCATTTCTTTCCTTCGTAGACTATTTTTTGAAAAGTTTGATCTCCAGTCAAGGATAATTGGACATTGGGGACCAAGTTGGAGGCATTAAAGGGAATTTATTCTACGTTTGTGACTTTGTTATTTTTGTGTCACGCCCCAGATCATCACAGGTTTGGCAAATACACCAAAAGAATATTGTCACAACTCTGTCCCTGGATACCAACTACCACTTTCCATTAGCTTCATTAAACCTTCATTAGCTAGCATTTCAGCAAGGAAAAGAAATGCTAGGATATTCTGCTTCTTCATATGACAGAATAAGTCATTTACAACACCAAGATAATCTACGCGATTCAATCCTAGCATGATTTAATGTCCTAGTTTTACTGGGTCTGCCTATTTGGGAAGAGGAATCCGGAGCAATGCTCTCCCCACTCACCAAAGTGCCCTCTCTGTGCCAGGCAGCCAAGAAAACAAAGCGAGGGGTAAAGCCACAGGGCCAGAAGCAACTTTGGCACTTGCCACTCCTTGCCGCTGTGCCAGTACTTGAGTGAGGCAGCCCTAACTCAGCAGCAAACATCTGGGTGACAGCAGAAAAGTACGGAAATACATGGTTCGGTGTGAATTGCCTTTAATATACACACTCTTGCAAGCTGCTGATCTCACTGCCTTTCTGTGCACATTTTTGCAATATACAAAAATTACAAAATTAATATTAATTAACATACAATATGTCATTTTGTGAATACGTAAGTGCACACACCCCATAATACATGTTGTGCATCATTTATACTGCAAACCACATCACATTTGGAAAACCGAGGTTCAGATTAAAATATGCAAAATGAATAACATAGCATTAAAATATACACAGAATGAAATTCTCCTCCCCTTGCCTGAGAATCAACATGAAAAGTGCATCTCTTGATGAAAAGAAATGAGTGAGTTTACATTATTTATCCATCACTGGAAATCCCCAGATGTAGGAATCCATTTTCTGTTAAATTGTTCTTCACTAAGAGCAGCCAAGCCACAGTGGTGTTTCTCAAGAATTGGCCTGGCCAGATAGCATTAATTTGCCTTCCCTCCCCCCCCCCCCCCCCCCCCAGTTTAAAATGTCAATTCTGAACTTCACTTGAATAGGTACTAAAACCCTCCTGCCCACAAAGAAAAGGAGAGCCTGTCATTTCCTACATCTATTGCTGTACTTATATAACTATTCTTTCTTTCTTTCTTTCTTTCTTTCTTTCTTTCTTTCTTTCTTTCTCTCTCTCTCTCTTTCTCCCTCCATTGCTCTCTCTTTCTCTTATTTAGGAACTGCCCATCTTCCTCACAGAGGGACTCTGGGTGGTGTACAAGTAAATGTTAAAATCATTAAAAACTAAATCATCATCATCATCATCATCCTAGCCATTGTCTATCCCTGCAGGATGAAGGCCTCTTCTGCATGTTTTCAGCCAAAATGGTCCTGAGCTTTCTTTTGGCTGGGGAATTCTGGGAGTTGAAGTCCACCAGGCTTAAAGTTGCCAAGGTGTTGGAGACCTCTTGGTCTAGAGGACCCCAAGGTCTCTTCCAGCCCTATCATTCTATGTAATTCTACGTAGTGGGGGGCAGAGGTGTTTTTCAGCATGTTCTGACCAGTGCTGGAGAACCGGTAGCGGAAATTTGGAGTAGTCCGGGGAACCAGCCAATCCCACCTCTGACTGGCCCCACCCCAATCTCTTCTCTGCCTCCCATTGAGTCCCAGCTGATCGCCTGGGTCTTCTTTTGTTGCCCTGCACAGGAGAATGGAGCTGGAAAGCAGGTTAGTGGGTTGGGAAGGGATTTTGCAGCATATCCTTCCCCTGCTACGCCCACCAAGCCACGCCCACCAAGCCACGCCCACCAAGCCACACCCACAGAACTGTTCGTAAAAAAAAAATTTTTGAATCCCACCACTGGTGGGAAGGGACTCAGGGCCTTTTTAATAGTTCTCTCTCTAAGGTTGTTCAGCTCTTTGGAAACAAGAACTAAA